CAGCGGAAATGGACGACGCGCCATTTCTTGAAATGAAATAAACAATGTTTATACTAAATGTGAGCAAACATTTTGCTTGCATAGTCTTCTGTTCTCTTTCACTGCAAGTTGAATTATTTTAATATCTATTGCAAAATTTTGTACAGACGAGACTAAAAAGTAGAAAATAAATAAAATAAAATAAACTTTTTAATATACAACGCTTTTATAAATAGACTAAAAAGTAGAAAATAATGTTTCTCAGTCCCACAGAATTTGTTTTGATAACTTTTGATTTTGAAATTTTAGCAAAAGTCGTTATAAACAATTAATGACATTGAAAATGAAAAGCGTGGGGCGCATGCAGTACAAAGCATATTGAACATTGGCTAACACAGTCGCGATTGGCGATCCGTGCCGGACGAACTCGGGAAGAATAAAAAGACCACGCAGCTACTGAACGACTGAGGCAGGGAACGTGATGTATGTACATCGTCAAATGAGAAGTGCCGTCTCCACGAATATCGACAAATACATTTCGGCATTTAAGGGAATTTCGTCTCTTTAGCCTACATTGAATTTCTGAAGTCTAACGAATCTCACCCATTTTGTCTTGTTGTCGCCAGCGAATTAGGAACACACATTTCTTCAAATTTAAAAAGTAAAAACTTCTCTACTAAAAATTCAAGAATGTTCTTAAAACTTGCAAAGAAATTTGGAAAGGAAATATCCCTGTTTTTGTTTTTATGAGTAGGGTGGGAGTGTCATTGATAAAATTAGAGCGAGAGAAAGTTTTTCTTACAAAACTTTTCATTATTGAATCATGGTACACACATGGTACTACATTTTGACGCAGTTCAATGTTGATTCTTTTAAAAGAAAAACCGTTTGAAATGAAGTGAGCCATACAAATTTTAAATTCATTTACCAGCAGATGTTCTTTTCCGGCTTTTGCAAATTAGATAAGTTCTCTGCAAGATTTATTTAAAAAAATACGTATAGATTAGGGATACCAATCCCGGGATCCCGGGATCCCGGTGTTTTTGACGTCCCGGAAATCCCGAAAATTTTTAAATATCGAATTGATAGTAAGAATTTGTTTATGAAATTTGAAGTATGATTTTTGTAAAATGTCGTTTTGAGTGCAATTAACAAAAAGCTTGAAACTGTACTTTTAAATTGCAGTCTGAGCCTTTTTTGAAGAAGATTTCAATGAATTTACTCATAGCGTCGCTAATGTAAACGAAACAGAGAGTTTTAAGGAAAAGTTAGATAATTTTTTAGATCAATCTACTTAAAACTTCCTCAAATCGAAAAACGAGAAACGTGCTGGTAAAAGAAGTTCAAATATTTTTTAATGGAGGAGATAGGGGTCATTATCTTCAAATGGATTATGTCTACCTTTTGGAAGTTGAGCCTAAAAGTGTTGATGCCGAAATATGTTTTTCATCAGTAGGTTTTGTATGTAAAAACTGCAGGTCAAGCTTGGAAGACTCCGCTTTGAATGCTTTGCTGCTCTTATGAAAACATTTTAAGTGCAATAATAACAACACCGGAAAAAAGGGGTGTGTGTTTTTAACCAGACCCACCTACCAACATGTAATTCCACCCGCTGAATCCGATTCTGAGATCCGTTTGACTCGTACACCCTCAAAATTTCAAGTAAATTGCGAAAAAAATGGCAAAAAATTCTCCATTCGCCATTTCTTTATAGAGTAGAATAAACATGTTTAGAAAAATTGTTTTTGTATATTTTTGTTTTATGTTTTTTTATTAATCGTTACTTTCAAAAGTACCTGGTATTTAAATTATTATTTGTGATGTATACGTTCCTCAATCACATGATTTTTTAAATACAATTGAAAAAATGTTTTACTTTAAAATTTGTCTGATTGAATAAATAAATATCGCTAGCGTAGAGTGCACAGTTGCTAAGTCCCAATTTAAAAATTATAAAGGAGAGCAAAAAACTTCGTATAGCCATTTTCTTCAAGTATTTCGCAAAACTTTGAATACAACATTTTGCCTGTTTAAAGCAAAGCAAAACTCCATACGAATCAGAGGGATTCGATCTTTATTAAAAGATTTCGAACTTTTTTGGCCTTATCGAATTTTCGGAGCTTTTTTTGGCCTTAGCAAATTTCCCTTTCATTGAATATAAACGAGAAAACATAAAACAAGGACCTTTACCCTTTTCGAAACGTTGCAATATTAATTATATCAAAATATGATTTTTCATTAAAAGTGAAGTTAGCAACTTTTCACTCTAAGCTAGCGATATATGAGTTTTACAATCAGTTTATCGTAAATTTTAAATAGTTTTATTTCATGGTATGTTTAAATGCTTTCAGATATTGAATTTTTACTCATATTCATAAAATTTATTACTCAATTTGAAGCCCGGGATAAATCCCGGGATCCCGGGATTACCTAAAAAATATCCCGAAATCCCGGGATCCCAATTTTACTGATATTTTGCCATCCCTAGTATAGATATATGGTATATGGGGTATGGAAATATCCCTTTTCCCTAGCAGTAGACCTTTTACTGTGGTAACAATGATATTTTTTAAATAAGGCAGATCGGAGTATGCGCTCTCTGGGAATACAATACCTGTAATTATTGTATCATGGGTTCTTCTTCTTCTTATTTGGCGCTGTAACCGCCTAAGCGATTTTGGCCGAGTCCAAAACAGCACGCCACTCATCTCTCTCTTCTGTGCTAACTGACGCCAATTGAAAATGCCAAGTGAAGCCAAGTCCTTCTCCACCTGGTCTTTCCAACGCAGAGGAGGCCTTCCTCTTCCTCTGTTACCAGCATCGCGGCCCGCGTTGAATATTTTCAGAGCAGGAGCGTTTCTGTCCATCCGAACGACATGGCCAAGCCAGCGGAGCCGCTGAATTTTAATTCGCTGCACTATGTCTATATCGTTGTAAAGCTCATACAGCTCATCGTTAAATCGTCTGCGATATTCGCCATCACCAACGCGTAAAGGTCCGTAAATCTTTCGCAGAATCTTTCTCTCGAAAACTCCAAGAGCCGCCTCATCAGATGCTTTCATTGTCCATGCTTCCGCGCCATACACCAGCACAGGCATGATGAGTGACTTATAGAGTGTGATCTTTGTACGACGAGAGAGGACTTTACTTCTCAATTGCCTACTCAGCCCAAAGTAGCACTTGTTGGCAAGAGTGATTCTCCGTTGGATTTCAAGGCTGACATTATTATTGGTGTTAATGCTGGTTCCCAAATAAACGAAGTCGTCTACTTTTTCAAACTTGTAACTGTCAACAGTGACGTGGGTGCCAAGACGCGTATGCTCTGACTGTTTGTGTGCTGACAGGAGATACTTGGTTTTGTCCTCGTTCACCACCAGACCCATTCGCTTTGCTTCTCTATCCAATCCCGAGAAGGCAGAACAGACGTAGCCCTTGTTTTTACCGATAATATCGATGTCGTCGGCATACGCCAGCAATTGTACGCTCTTATAAAGTATTGTGCCTGAGCGGTTCAGTTCTGCGGCTCTTATTATCTTCTCCAACATAAGATTAAAGAAATCACACGAAAGGGAGTCCCCTTGTCTGAAACCTCGTTTGGTATCAAACGGCTCGGAGAGGTCCTTCCCTATTCTGACGGAGCTGGTGGTATTGCTCAACGTCATTTTACACAGCCGTATTAGTTTCGCGGGGATACCAAATTCAGACATCGCGGCATAAAGGCAACTTCTCTTCGTGCTGTCGAAAGCGGCTTTGAAATCGACAAATAGATGGTGTGTGTCGATCCTATTCTCGCGGGTCTTTTCCAAGATTTGGCGTATTGTGAATACCTGATCTATGGTGGATTTTCCAGGCCTAAAGCCACACTGATAAGGTCCAATCAGCTCGTTGACGGTGGGCTTCAGTCTTTCGCACAATACGCTCGATAAGACCTTGTAACCTATGCTTAGAAGGCTAATTCCGCGGTAGTTGGCGCGTATGGCGGGGTCGCCTTTCTTGTGGATTGGGCAGAGCACACTTAAATTCCAGTCGTCGGGCATGCGTTCATCTGACCATATTCTGCATACGAGCTGATGCATGCACCTCATCAGCTCCTCGCCGCCGTACTTGAATAGCTCGGCTGGCAGGCCGTCAGCTCCAGCAGCTTTGTTGTTTTTCAGCCGCGTAATCGCTATTCGTACCTCGTCATAGTCAGGCGGTGGGACAGCTACTCCATCATCATCGACTGGGGACTCGGGTTCGTCTTCCTCACTACTTTCAGCGCTGCTACCATTCAGTAGGTTATAAAAGTGTTCCCTCCACAATTTAAGTATATTCTGGACATCGGTCACTAGGTCGCCATTGTTGTTCTTACAGGAGTTCGCCCCGGTCTTGAAACCTTCCGTAAGTCGCCTAACCCTCTGGTAGAATTTTCGGGCGTTCTTCCTGTCGGCCAGCATCTCAAGCTCTTCGCACTCACGTATTTCGGCCTCTCTCTTCTTATTGCGGCAAATACGTCTCGCTTCCTTCTTCAGTTCCCTATAACGGTCCCACATGGCTCGCGTTGCGCCCGATCGCAGCGTGGCCCTGTAGGCGGCACCCTTTTTCTCTGCGGCTTCTTGACATTCCTCATCGTACCAGTTTTCTTTTGGGCTCGCTGAAATCCAACTACTTCTTCGGCGGCGGTACTTAATGATCGGGAAATGTGGTTCCACTGCTCGCGTACGTCGGATTGTTGAAGAGTGCTCTCAGAGAGCAGGTGTGTGAGTCATGGGTTCTACCTTCCTATTTTTTTATCATGTTTATAACAAAAGAAGGACTCAATGTAGACTCCTAAATTCTGAGCATTCAGAAATTGTTTGAAGGGTTGTATTATAGATTTTAAATACTCGTATTTTGACAAATTAGATGATAAATCCGTCGGTTGCTTTAATTATTCGACTGTGAATATTACTTTTATAATTGTTTAAACCACGTTATATATACATTTATTTAATACTGTTGAGATTAAACGTTGTCCTTTAATTTATTTTTTATTCATACAGACCACCAATGCAGTTACATTCAACAATGAATACGTACAATGGGAATTCTCACAACGGTCCAAATCCAATATCTTCAGCAAAAGGGACCGCGTCAATGCATCACCCTGCATTTGTATCACAACAACAGCAGCAACTGCACCATTCATCCATAACTTCCCCCTTGGGATCTAACATGCCGCCGACCCGTCCAACATCCGCCTATTATCATAGTGCCTCCAACGCCAATAGCAGCGGAGCAGCACCGACAAGCAATGATCAACTGCAACAGCACTTGGTCTCTCAACAACAACAATTTACACACCACTCACTTAACATGAGTGCTAGCAGTAGCAATTTGAATAGTGGCAACATGTCAGCGACAGCTCTGCAACAATACCAACAGCATCAACAACAACAGATTTTATCAAAAATGGCGCCACAATCCTCACTAACGATGGGAAACCGATCAAGGAGCACTCAGAATTTCAATCGCGACATGCAGAATCAACATAGTCTGCGCATGCAACAAATGATGGCGCCTTCAATGCCAAACATAAGTAGCGCATCCCAGCAGCAACACATGTCAGCTAGCCAGAGTATGCAGAATGTAAATATGAGCGGTGCGGACCCTACACTAGGGTACCAAAATGGCGCTGGAGGTGATGGTTATATACAGCAGCAACATTCACCTGCCGGGCAGACGTTTCGTCGCAATCCATTAAACGAGTTCATGTCTCAGGGCGGTGGCGATGGAACTCAACACTCTCCACATATAATGCTGCAGCAACAGCAAAACTTTATTTCGTTACCCCCGAAACCTGGTAGCTTGCAGAAAGTGTCACCTACGAAGCAGCAACAACAGACTCAGCATTTACCACCCACAGCTCCGAAGCCGCAGACGAATCGAATACAACAGCAGCAATTCATGCAGCATCAACAACAACAACATCAGCAAACTATGTACCAGCAGCATATTGAGGATAAGCCACCGCTACCACCGACGGCCACGCATCCGCTTTACAAACCGACGCAACAAATAACACCTGGTATGAATTATGTAGCCAGCACTTTAGACCCTCCGAAAGGTGGCTATGTGCCTGTATCCTCAACAGCACCATTACAAAACCAGAAAAACTTCTTAGGGACCAATCCTTGGGAGCGTGAAGAGCGCGAAAAGGAAGTGGAAATGCGGCGTGAACATGTGCGTCAATGGCGGGAGCAACAAATCGCCGATATTTCTTCCCTGCCACAAAGAACGCCACAGCAAGAAGAGCAACTCAAGACTCTTATACTGGAACGTGATTTTGAGCGGCGAGCTCAGGAGGCAGAAGAGCATGAAGATGAAAGTGAACCATCGTACGAAAAGGAGAGCGCACAAGAAGTATTCCGCCTTCAGACAAACAGCATACAAATGCCAGTGACTAACTTCAGACAAACAGAGATAAAAACCTCGTCTGTGTTAGATAATATTGGCGGAGGTACCAACAGCACGACCGGCTCTTTGGAGGAGTCGCCTTTGTCTTCGGCGCGCAGTTCAGCAGCTGTCGTATCGGATGCGGCGTCCGTGCTTCAGCAGCAGCAACCACCTCCTTTGCCAAGCAACCCACCGCCTGCGACAGGAGTGACCACGGCAGCAGCTACACAACCTAAAGGCATTTTGAAGAACAATCGCTACGATGGGGCCAGCGGCGCCGCACCATCCTCGCCATCCAAATCTCAAAAATCGACGAGCTTTGCTGATGATCGACACTTGCAATCCGAACACCCAATATCAAGTTTGGCCAAAAACTTGTCACATATATCAATCAGTAATTCCGTTTCAACTGGCATTTGCTCACCTACAACGCCTACTGTAGGTTCTTCAACACAGAATACAAGTGTCGACAGTTCAACTGTTCCACCGCCTCCCCCGCCAGAGCGCAATAGCTCTTATCTCGTTATGTCACAACAAAAATTACGCAATTCCTCCATCGGTCTTTTAAAAACAGCTACGAGCAATTCTGCTGATTTACTTAACCAGAACCAAAACTTGGGGAATAATTCGAATCTATTGAATAATAATGCCACCATAAATAATAATAATAACACCAATAGTTGTAGTTTAAATTCGTCCACGTCAGCAGGGACTCCTGCTGGCGCAACAATAAACAACAACATCACCACTAATAACGCGCAGTCCTTAACATTGGAACTATTACCATCCAGTTATATGGGCAACAGTAGTATGTTGCTACGAGATAACAAACGTGTTTCATTCCATAACGAAGAGAACAACTACATAGGGGCAGCTCAGTCGTATGGAACAACCGGAACAGGGTCATCTTCTGACATGTACTCCATGAATAGCGACTCCCAAATTCCTCTAGATCTGGATGCCATACTCGAGGATAGAAACGTAAGTTTATTAACGTATCGGACCGTGAATTTTTGAATTTCAAGTTCCTTTCTAAATTTTGATGATTGGGAAGATGTTGACGTGTATTGTGATGCCGTCTACTTCTTTATATATAGAATTCCAATATGCGCGGGTTTCTTAATACTTCTCATAGTTGATCGTGTTGCGGCGCAATAGTTTTTACGCCCAAAATCAAAAACGACTTGAACAATTAGTTTCAGAGTTAATTTTATTTTCCTTTCTCCCTTATGAACTCTAAGCGAATACAAAACCTGATTTCAATAGGCTCAGCTTAAATAGTGCTTTTTGATACAGTTAGAAGTGGGTACATAAATATGCGAGAGAGATTATGTATTCAAATAAGTACTAAAATGAACTACATAGTTACAGCATGTACATACATATATACATATGTATGTTAATATTTGTTACATATAACTACATACTTCGCATGGAATAGCGGATAATATTTACGTACATACATGCATATTTCAGCTTAGTAAATTCACTTACAGTGGGTCTAATACACCAATTCAATCAAGAAATTTAACTTTAAGAAATATTACAAATCATATAGAAACAATACAATGAGCATACATGATTGCACACTTTTGACTGCAGTCGTTTTAACGCCATTAACACCGTTAATTTCCAAAGAGCTTGCTAATCTGGGGAGTCTCAACATTCTAGCTAAGTAGTCACACATCAGGTGAACTGCGATGCGGAGTCTAGCAACGCGCGCGCTGGGTGGTACCTACCATATGCATCCTTCAGTAATATTACGGCAGTTTCCAGGAACACTTCCTTTACAACTTTCGATTTGCCGCTCGTGCATAGCACACTATTTTGGGCTACGCTTTCTTCAGTACTTCCATTCCCACCACTTGATTCAGCTGCAGTTTGTCGATGCAGCAAAGTATGATGAGGATGACTACAGATTGTACACTTCGTAGCGCGGCATTGCTTAAACCAATGACCCTTTTTTAAACATAGAATGCAAAGTCTTGCGCTTCGCGCAGCGGTATAGCGCTCATGCGGATTCATTTGAGCGAATTTATGGCACTTGAGCACATCGTGATCGCCTTTGCGGCAAATAGCACAGCTCACCTGTTCCACAGCCAGTGATGTCGACCTCTTCGGCTTCCACAATGAGGACTTTGGCTTCGCCCCCTGCTGCTTCGTATCACTGCGATCGCCCTTTGCTTCACGAGCTTCTAAAGTTTCACACCTTCTGGTCAATATTGCTGAACACTCTGCCCACGATGCCATTTTTGTGTAATCAAGAGCCTCTTCCCATTTAGCTTGAGATTCCGAATCTATTTTGCCCATATCTAAATATATAATGAGGGCATTCGTAATATTTTCATACGTGCCGAGTGACAACATGGCGCTTAAGCGCGCATTCGTCACATCAATTACCTTTCTTAAATGATTGGCGGACCCTTTATCTACCTTTTGCATCTCGAACAGTGCACCAATGTGCTCCGCAAACATCAGACTTTTCTTATCAAAACACGATTCAAGCGTTGCAGTGCCTTTGGGTAGTTGTCGTCTGTTTCATCGAAATCGGCGATTGTTGAAAGTGCCCTTTCGCCCAAGCTGTCTTTCAGAATAAGGAATCTCTCACAATTGTCCAGTGTTTCGTCTTGGTGTACCATCTTCGTAAACAGCGCCATAAATTGGGGAACTCTGCGTATTTTCCATCGAACTTTGGCAGCTTAATCTCACGCCTCAGGCGTGATGTGGGCGCAGCCATAGAATTGTTGTGTGCTAATGTCATGTCAGCGACTGATGACCTTCGCTTCCCTATCAATGCCATTGCGCTCAATTTAGTACTCACATACAGTTCCTCAATTTCGCCGGCCAATGTTGTGTTCGCCAACCTATCAGATTCTGGACTGATTTTATCGATGTTTGCTTGCACTGCTAAAACCTGTTTGAAGTAAGATTCCAATATCCCCAGCCTGCACTCCAGTTCCTCCACTGCTAACGTGGCACCCTTTTTTATGAGTAGGTTTTTGATTCGCGTGATGTTCCCTTTCGTCGACGCTCTCAATGACTTCAACTCCAGCAGCCTTGCTGTTGACCCACCGACCGCCGTAGCTTCTTCTTCGCTCGAGCTCATCGCGTATAAATTTTTGTTGGCTAATCGCAGATTA